AAACAAAATTCTAGCTTATTTTCTGAGCTTCTGACTAAATGTTTTCATAGAGTCTCAATAACACCAGGCAGTAAATTTGCTTAATGTGTAAATGTGCAAGTAAATTGTTTTTTAAAAATAAAATCTTTCACTGATACAATTCAAAATTACTCTCTCCTGATACTTTTCTCAAAACTTAAACTCAGTTTCTTTGGCAATTAACATGCACAGAGTATCTGCCTTCTGGCCACCAGATAGCAGATTCACCAACTGAATGAGACAGAAAGCCCCTGCTTTTTAAAAAGTCAACTGACCAATTGTCTCCCAGCAAATGATCATAGGACAGAGAGCAGGACCTCATTCCCCCTGCAGCTTCTGGGGAATGTGGTTCAGACAAGGCACTATCTTGTCTGGTGTGGATGTGTTCTTACAATTGATAAATATTTCCAAAATTTTAAATTTTCAAGCCAATTGAAACAAAACAAAATGCCAATTTCTTAGTGTGTTCTTGCAACAACAACACTCCATTATTTTAAATAATAACTATAAAAAACAGTCAAATGTGAAGTAGTTATTTTTCAATCTTGTTTCTTTCTGAAGTTGTTTTGGTATTGCTAAAGATACACTTCTGAAATAATAATAAAGTCAAACTATGATATCTTGTATGTTGGAGATGTGTTCTTGTAAAGTGGTACATACAGAAAATTAATATATTACAAATGAAAATTCCCATAATAATTAATTAATAATGAATGTGCTAGGGAGTGTTAGGTTCTTCTTATATGTATTTTTGTGGCATACTGTTACTTTCTATTGTTTCTTATATTATGTTATTTCTTATATTCTTAAATTATTTGGTGCATTATTAAAGGTACTGTATTTACCTGAATGTAAGCCACATTTTTCCCAAATTTCAGGATGATACCAATTGGCCAGTGGCTTATATTTGAATATACTGTAGGTACTGTATATTGCTAAATAGACTGCTGAACCAGAGTGCTAAATGGTGTTAAACTGTGCCTACTGTGACAGACCACCCTTTTTCTTAATTGTGGTGTGTTGTTGTGAATGAGTAATAAATACAAGTCTATAATCATATTTATTTATACAAAATAAGCAAGAGATTACACTACACTTCTGTGTTCAAGGAGGTGATCCTGTGTGCCAAACAACATGGGAATCTTCAGGCTGAAAGGTAGTTTGCAGGTAATATATACAATAAAGTTTAGTAAAGGTTATATATTAGTTATATTATAGCTAACAATAATATTGTAAATGTTTTTACCTGTTACCTGTTGCAGCAGAAGTATAATACAAGTCCAACTCTCCTTAGCTTCAGAAAATCTTGATACAATATCACCTTCAGTATGTTTAAAGATCACCAGACCGGGTGTTTAGTAAACTGTGCCAGTCCTATTACCTGCTCCTGTGACATTGTTGATCTCAGATTTTTTTAGCTTCAAGCAGGAAAAAAATATTTCCCCTGAGGCAACGATGAAAGGGATGGTCAGAAGAACTTGTAGAGAAATATTTTAGTTCCAGCATGTCTTCTCAATATACGTAATTTTTATTTTCTCTCACAAGAATTGCAATGAATCCCTTATGGAAATGTTTCCCAAAAAGTGATCTTTAATGGTCCCCTTTTTGTCTCTTCACACATGCTCGCACATGACCAGGTCAAACTTGGATATTAGTTGAAGCTGCCCAAGGAAGTTTCTGTTATGTGGGTCATGGAGCTTTTCTCAAGGTCCACTTAAGGCTTGTTTGCGTTCAGCCAAATGACATACAACAGCAACAACTTGTGTCAAGACTTCCAGTATCTCTGTTCAAGTGTTAACATTTTTTGGCTAGTATTGTCAATTGTTGTGCCTACTGTATGTTTAATCTTACCTGTAGCTGGTGCCAGCTCTCCGTGTTTGTTATGTGCACTCTGGAACATTCGTGGTCATTTAACAGGTGATGGAGGCGTTTCCACGTACGAAAACCCCTCCCTGGACGAACTGTTCTCTCTTTTCCCAAAATGTCTACAGCAAAAACACAACAGTGATGCAGTAGACTGAGAATAAACTAGCCATGTCCGTGTGATTTTCTCACCATTTTTTACTTTCATTTTGAATTAGTCTCTGGTAAATATCAGTGGAAACAGTTCATTGTTGTGAGGGAAATCCATGCCTGTTATCTGGACTGGGCCTTGTCTAACAATCTCACAGCTTGCTTTTGTTTTGAGGCCACAATGTCAGGTTTTCTGAGAATATCCAGGAGCAGCCTATAGCATGTGGTTGTGGAGTCACAGACATGCCTGTTTCTGCAGTACTGTCACCCTCATCTGTAGGATCAAGATGAGCTGAGAAGCTTGATTCTCTTGCGGATAGTTTTTCTCTGTAGTGACATTTTCTAGGAATGATGAAGATTGGGTCTGTTGTTGATGAATCTTTGTCTCCCATTGTGACTGCAGGAGTCCTAATTTTGTAGTACTGCTTCTGTTGCCAGTGGTTTCAACCGACTCCTGTACCGATGCTTCTCATTTTTAGTTTTGTGAAAAACTTTTAATAAAACTTTTATGTAATTTCTTCTCAACTTTTTTTCTGCCTAACTTGAATTGCTTTCTTTAATTGCTTCTGGATAACTTTATGTAAGTAAACTATATATTAACATTTGCTAGATTGTTGATGAGTGTGCATAATCTTTGGAAAAAGAATATAACAGACAAATAGCAGTAGCTAGATCGACCATGTCTGGGAGTCATCAAACATCGTTTGAGACTGGAATAGTTCATTTGCAAAAAGCAGGTATACATATGAAAATAGGTGTTGGAATTTTTATATCAAGCACAAAAAGATGAAAACACGTGTATTGGTGGATCCTTCATTCAGTGTATCACCCCCACTAATCACTGGGCCTCCCTCACATCTTGCAGCTCTGGGCAAATGTCCGGGCTGCTCCATAGGTAAGACTGCCCCTGGCTACAGATCCCAACCAACGCTGGAGTTGAAATCCCCAACCCAATGGTCAATGACTAAAAACCTTCAATTCACCTGTCCACATGTTCATAACTTTCAAGATCTGCTTCATTCCTTCATAGGCTGCTTTTACAAAATTAAATACCCCAATTTTAGGATAAATTGTTAGACATCTAAAAAATAGATACAAATGACTATGCAGTATATACAACTTTAATTATATTCCATTTCTATGAAAAGACTAAGCCACTTATACAGTTTATATTTTCCTGTAAACGTATTAAGCAATTAAGCAAACTCTAACCATTACAATCATGTCAGTGTCAGCTTCTGTACTGTACATTACAATATCTCAATTTGTATAAGGAAAATTGAAATCCTCAAAACATAAAATATTATGGTGACAACCCCCAAGGCTAGCACAGTCCCAGTGATCTGCATGCACAAAAACTCACAATGGCAACAATTCAAAGAGCAGAAGACTTTATTTCAATGTTCTTCCATGTATTTCAACAAAAAGAGACCTGTAAAAAACTTCAGTCTGCTTCTTCATTACAACCACTGAGCACACCATTTTATAGAGACAGGCTACTAATTAAACCATCATAAGCATGTGCATTTTAAACCATCGCCAGAAACCAAATTAACAAACTCGTAACCCAGTCAGACTATTTACAGGAATTGTTGGCATTTGGAAGCCTCTAGTGGCTGGTCAGTTGTTATTGCAGTCCCTTCTTACAGTAGGTCAACCCACCATACTCACCATTGTTGCAGTACATAACGTACTGATGTCATTGTTCAGTATGAATCCATTGCAGCCCTAGGTGACCGATTGTTATTGATTTGATCTGTTTTAACTCTTACCACATAAAGATTCTAAATTGCCTATACTCTTTTGCTTATATTGTTTAACTTGCAGTCTCTTTTGGATATATTTTCTCCCACCACCACCCCTTCTATTTTGCTTAACTGTCTAGAAATAATATGCACCCGTTAATTACTATAACTGTCCTTTTCATCCTGGCCTAGTCATGTTTTAGTCTAATTATAGTTACCTATTAATGCAGTAGTGTTTGATCTCTTTCAAATTATTCCTTATACTTATGATGGTGGGGTTTATGCATTTAAGAATGTGCATATGGTTTAAAATTAGTTTTTCGTGTGTTTTTCTTTTTAGAATTATCCTACCAGGGCCTGTGCCTGTGACTAAAACATGACTGTGCCCCCGTCCCACCTTTTCCCTCATTGCTCCTGAAATACTCAACAAAATCCAGGTGTACCTCTTTATTATCCATTATATTTTAGTTTACAGTGTTTTCTTCATAATTATTAGGGTTCTACAAGTATTTTCCACATTGAAATATCAATTTTTACCATGTCTCCAGAATTTTCTTTGTGCTATGAAAGTATGAAATTTTAAAACATATGTTTTCTTTTTAAAACAAATTATAGACAGTTCCATTGACTGGTCCACAATAGTTTTTTTTTGTTCCCACTCAGGGGAGACAGAATGAAGTTTCCTGGAAATATAAAACTTATTTCAGTTGTTTAAATAGAAGATTCTGTTGCATTTATATTGCATAAGTGTTATGCAGTATGTGTTATACTGTCTATAAAGGACAATTAAATGTACTGATTTACATACATTGTATATGTTTCTCAAAATTCTAGTTACTCTCATTAAGTATGTTACAATTTTTCTTGTTCAGCTGGTTGAACTGATCTGTTGTATAGCAGAGCTGCTGGTCTATAATGACTGCTTGGGGTCTCCTTGGTGGGTGCTGCAATTCAGATGTAATTGAAGTGGATCCCCTTCTTATATGTAAAAGCAATCTGAGATACGTTGGGATGATAAACACCTTTTATATATAAGGAATTATATTTTTTTTGCTGTAAGAAATATATGCGCTCACATCTCAGAAATATACAGTTCTGTGATAAAAATACACAGTTACCACAGCATATTTCATTCATCCATTCCCTCATTTTCATTATTACATGCACTGTTTTTGAGCATCAGCAACACATTAAGGAATCATAAAGGAAACTAAAATGTCTTACCAGTTTTGGGATCAACAGAGAAATAAGGCTGTCCTTGGAGAATACTGTACACTACTCTAGCACTATTTCCATATGTGGGATCATCTGCATCAGTTGCAGTCACCTGGAGAACAGATGTACCTGCAAAATGAAGTAAAATAAGTTTAAGTAATGTAAATTGTATATTTTTTTCCAACAAATATGCAGTATGCTCATACAAAAGGGATGTTTGTTGTATCAGTAGTGTGTATATGTAATATTTAATGGCAGGATAACTCAATGTAAAATTACCATATCATTTTAGGCCTGCCATTACTAGATATTTAGTTCTGCCAACTGAAAATAAGCACACAAGATCATTCCAGGCCAAATGAACCATGTGCAATAAGCCAATGACAAAATTGCAAGATTTTGATAGGTCACCTGATCACATCTGCATAGTAACAACCAGATCTGCTCATGCAATTGGGAACCACCAAAAGCCAATGCATGCATAACCCCTTCAGTGTGTTTCTCATCTAGCAAAGTTAGAGCATGTATGTACAGCAGAAATCACAAAAGGTTCACATAGACAATGTTTTTCAGTATTCAGACATCAGAGAAAGTAGGCAAAGAGGAGGCATAGAACAGTAGGCATAACATATAAATAGATCATATATGTATATATCTCTAGTCCAACAATTGAACATGCAGATTTGAAAAAGAAAAGAAAAGTAGTTGAGACAATATTTAACTCAATATTTAACTTGTCAGGGAGAAAACAGAACTTACGGATATGTTGGTTTTATTTATGGTTTTACTGTAAAATAATGAGGAAAACCTGTCAGGTTCTATAAATTAATATAACTGAAAGAAACGTCGTTGAAACTGCAAGGAAATTGTAAGTCAATTTATTTGATTATATTTCCAGTAATAAAATGGGGGTTGTTGTATTGATGTTAAAGTAAAAATTATTGTGACTGCAAAGACCACCAGTACATCACAATCACCAGGAAATTACATAAGCCACCAAAAGCATCACAGGTATCTTTGTTTCCCTGCCCAGTAAATAGGCAAAAACACATGGCATTTGGGTTAATATTTATCACTCTTAACACATAAACACTCAAATTATATACAATGACAGTAAGTCTGTGAGTTAAGGTCTTCTATCTTTCAAAGCTATTCTCAATTACCTAGACTAATCTTAGTGCAATCTTATAGAGGGAAAGCAGTTTAAGGAGGTAATTAATGTTGGTTTCTATTCAATAACCCCCCTTCTTCATAGGAAAGTCTGATCTCTAAAACTGATTCACAATTATGAAAAGTGATTCTCTAAATGGTGCATTTGTAGAGATACAATTTCTAACTGGAGCGTGCTTAAAAGGGAATAAATCTTATGATATTTAAAAAACACAGCCTTTGACCTTAAATTTAGTTTTGGTTTCTTCTTTTGTCCAAAATAATTGTTATGGGTCAGTCCTCAAAGGTCAAATCATTTGTGCTTTGGAATTGTAGGAATATAGAATATGCTCACAATATCTACTTGAGAGGATAGGAGAGTTATTTCTGATCCAGCTACTGCTATACTAAGCCAATCTTCCTGGAATATCAAACTGTCAAGGGAAATCCTAAAACAACTGTCAGTAAAAGCACCAGGAACTTCTATGTTCATAGGTAAGGGAATAATACAGTTAACAGAAGACTGAGACAGTCTGCACCACAAGATGTAAACCTCCCATCAGTACTAAGAACAGGAAAAAAAAAAACAGATTGGAATTTAGACTGAAGTACAATAATGAACCAGGAGAGAACTGGAATATTCTTTTGGACAGATGAGCTTAAGAAAAACCTTTATCACAGTAATGGAAAATTTAAAGTATGGAGAGAGAAAGAAAATGCAGATGCTTTAAAAACTACCACCTCATCACTAAGCAGGATGGATGTAATGTTGTAGCCATGGTATACATGGCCACCTCTGGAATAGGATCACTTGTCTTTTTTGATAATGCATCTAAAGATGGGCACTCCAAAATAAATTCTGAAGTTTATAGACACATTTTCTTTTCTTGCATAAAAGAAAAAAATTAAATTAGAACAACCCAAAATAGGCAAGACCTCGAAGTGGCTGTAGCAAAGGCCTAGCAAAGCATTTCAGTTTATGCAAAGAGTCTGATACGCCTGATCGGTCAAAGACTTCATTCAATTGCTTCTACAAAAATACTGACTTTTACACTCAATAACCGTATCGTGAATGCGTCTCAATACGTCCAGTCACTTGAAACACAAATTTCTGGAATGAACATATAGTATGAATTTTTCTAATATGATTAAATGTATGCATGTAAATATGAGAACCTAGTGACTAGACAAACCTCTTGAAACATTTTGCTAGGAAGGGATAAGAGAACATAACTCACTTTTTTTTTTTACATTGTTGGCGCTTTGTTTTGAGAAAGCCTTTGCTGTCTTGTTTGAAGGGCATGTAGGTGTTATTAGGTATTATTACCTACCTTAAAGAGATACATTTAGACATAACAATGCCTTCTAATCAAACTGTAACAATCCAGCCTAACAATAAAGGCATACATATATTACAAAGTCAGATCACAGAGATAAAGAAACTGTAGTGCATTTACAGCCTCCCTCAAGTCAAAAAAGACATACGAATTATGAACTCTGTCTTCAGAAAGACACTATTTTATAGATGGCCTTGAAGTTGAATGTAACTAAATTTTAGTTTTCCTTAGAAATTAAACTATCAAAACTTTTTAGCAATTTCGTAGACATTGAATTGCTCGTAAAACACTCCCGTAAGTTTAAACTTTAACATTTAAATACTACAAATCAGCACTTATGATTATGAGAATCAAGATTAATTGGAAATAGTTTAGTTGTTAGTTCCCTTACTCCTTCCTAGCAATAAAGTTTGAATCTTGCAAGAGATTTGTATAGTCACTATTTTCATTTTCACTATTATCTTGTCGAAGATATCCCTGTTTAAAAACCTATGTGTTTTCTAATTTCAGTGTCATTGACAATATTTGTACACATACTGTAATTTGCTGAATTACAGCTGTAAGTAAACTGGAGAAAAAATATATACTTTTACTTTTGGCAGTTGAAATGGTATGAATTTATCAAGTGTCTGACTCAGAGATAAGAAATATTTTTTCTAGATTATTAACAACTTTGAAAGATAAGAACCCTCAATACTTTATATTGTCCTTCATTTTCTTCTTCCTACTAGATAGTTTAAGATGTCCAAAAGATTGTATAAACAAAGTGAAGAATAATGGCAGTACAATCAATTTCTCATGTGAGACCTTCATTCCAAAATTAGAATAAAGAATTAATAAATTTTAAAATAGAAAATTAAATAAATTCAATAATAACAATAAAACAATGATGTCTCTCCATCTAACAACTTTATACTTGCTATATGATCTAAAGATTGCAGATTTCCACCTCCTCTTGCCTCTAATAATGGATCGTCAGCTATGAAAATATCATAAAATTTCATTTGCTAAATCTATTCTCTGATGGCCCTTTTTCTTTCTTGATTTTTTCTTCCTTTCATAGCTTTTGATGCATTCTCTTCAAAGTATGTGGAGCTTAATAAATGAAACCCAATATAATTCTCCAAAATAAAATTCATGATTGCTATAATAAATTCTGTGTAAAGGGATGATAATTACATTGTGCAAAGATAAACTAGCTGTGAGACAGTGTGATCAAAACATGGTGTGCTCCAAAATTTTGCAGAAAATGTAATCTCTGTGATTAAGCCAACAGAAAGAAAGAGACATCACTAAGCTTTTTCACAGCCCACATACAGAGAGAAATTGTGTTTCACATAAAAAGTGAGCAGTTGCCTCAAATATTGTTTCATGTTGACATATAGTGAGGAAATAAACTGCATGTTTTGCAAAATAATTTACTTGATTTAAATATAAGGGCATACAAACTGACAAAGTAATTCAATAAAAACAGTGAAGGGGTATTTGCATATTGTAGCCTGATATCTTCAGCTATCACACGCTAATTAAATTACTTTAATAATAATATTGTTGTTATTATTTGTAGTAGCAATAGTTATACTACTACTATTAATATTTAGTTAATAGGATACCCTGGAAAATATCTCAGAAAGCAAGATAAAAAAATAAATAAAAACATACAGGAGAGAATGCTGGGCAAACAGGCCCTGGTGAGAAAGTGAGTTTTGAGTTTAGAATTGAAGAAGACAAAGCATTTGTCAACCACATTCACCAAACGGCCTGCATTTGGTCCTACAATGAGCAAAAGCCCAGCCACAACTGAACAGAGCCTATGGGAGAGAGTGTAAACATGGAGGAGTTCAGAGATGTATGATGGAGCCAGTGAAGTAATAAGATCTTCTATTATATTGTCACAGTCTGGTCCTTCAAAAGTTTAGAAGTTCAGAAGGGATGCAGCAATAATGATGGCACAGCAACAACTACAAAGAAGTACAAAGTTATTTATTGTGAGGAACTGTGTTCCCAAACTCCACACCCCCAAAAAAACATTTACAAAAACAAACTATAGTAACCAAAGGGGAAAAACATAAAACTATAGTACAATAATATATACATTAATTGCTTTAAAAAAAAGATTGCTGTATGTACCTCCTACTCTACACTACTATAAGCTGTCTCCTGTCTCTTCTCCCATCCTGATGAGCTCCTTTTCTAGGTAAAACTCATCCTACCATTAATCCTTTTATGTACATAAATATTTTTAATAATAGACTATCCCCTCATAATGGTATCTTCTTACATATCGATCCACACATGCGCAACCCTGGAACAGGCACTACTAAGCCAGCCCCTGTTGTCATGGTTTGGGTCCTACAGGTTGTGGGAGAAACAATTCTGAAGGTAAGAAAAGAAAACGAGGATGTTATTAGAAACCCGTGAGTTAAACACCAGTTTATCCATATACATTTAGTTAATTTCACTTATAAAACAAAGGAAACAGGTGTTTGATTTGAGTTAATATTTAATTTTGATCAAATGTGAACGACCTTACTTTTCTCTGTGTGTGCACCCACAAAGCAAGAAAAGCTATCTCAGGGATTCCAGACTATTTAAAGTTTGTTTGCCTTTGAAACCAGATTTATTATCTTTGTTTAAATAGTGAATTTGTATAACAAACTAGATTGTGCAATATAAATCAGATATTGTCATGAAGATGAAGGATGTGTACTGTATAAATGGAGCTTTTCTGCGTTTTTTATATTTGTACACCAAACCTTAACATAACCTGCCCTAAACACACTCATTTTAATCAGAGTATAGTGTTTTGTAATACTTCAGCATGTCCTTTCCACTGTAGATCTTTAACATTTTTCACAGGACCAGTAGGCAAAATCACTGTTATAGTATAATATAACACTATTAGATATTTTACAAAAAAAAATTGTTAAAATCTTCTCATCTGTCCTTCCCAGAAATCTAATGGATTAACATGCTTCAATCTCACAGATGTGTGATTTGTTGCCAATGTCAAGATGATCTGCACTAAATAAATGCCAAACCTGAAAAGATTAAAAACTTTATTTTTAATGTATGAAGTTAGGTAATTTTAAAGACTTAGGGAGTGACCATAATCAATAGTCTTCTTTGGTACTCATTTTGTATATCCGTGCCCTCTAGTTTGTACACAAATCACTTCAGATATTCCTTAGGACTTTTTTAATTTTAATTTTGTACTCAAAAAGTTTGGAATCTCCAATTGATTCATTTCTCTTCAGCTTAAAAAAATAAGTCCTGTAATGGACTAAGAAAGTGCGGACATATACAGTACTTCTAACCTAGCCATCTTCCACCTTTTGACATACTACAGTGCTTGAGGGTTGAACTGCTTTGAGACGTTGCACACCTTTTACTGATATCACTGCGGGCCTTCTTTCTCTGCCAAAACATCCCTGGTAGATTAATCACAGAAAAACCACTGGCAGTGTTCAGCCAATAGTATTCTGCCACTTGGGGAATCACGGTTGTGTTTGTGTCCACACTAGTGACATATTCAAGGTTTTGTTTTTTTTGTACCACATGATAACAAACTTTGTTTTTTGTGAGAAAGCAGTATGCACCCTAGTGTTCATGGTGTTCAGTCAAACATCATCTCACATTTGTTTTGCTGCAGGAAGGTCAAGCGGTGTAAATCTGGAGAAGGTTCAAGTTTCAACAATTGGTAGATCCAATTTTTCCCATGATCGGTAACTATGCAGTGAAAGAATCCATTCCCTTTCCAAGTCCTAACCAATGCTTTATAACAGATGAGTAAAAACTCCAATGTTTCTCATCTGTCTTCATAGCTGACTTTTCTAGTTCTATAATTAATTGGATGGATATTTATTTTTTTAGACAATGCAATATCCGATACTTTTGAAACATATATGGATACACTGTAAATTAGATGTGTGTAAGCATAAAAGTGGAAATTATTCACAATCCTTTTCAGCATGATATAATATTGTCATACAAAAAATTAATTACAAGTAAAGATAAATTTAATTAAATTGATGTATCAAATATCATAATCTTATAAATTAATGAAAGATGACAGAAAACGTTGTTGTACTTTGAGACCCAATTAAAACAAAGCCAATGTGCTGTGCTTTAATTTTCCTTGACCTCTTAAAAATTGTTGGATTAGAACACACTTTACTCAATTGAAGATGATATGTCGTTACGTAACAGTCAGTCAGAACAGCAGAATTTGAGAGGTCAAAACTTGCACTTCCACTCTCCTACATATACTGTTAATACTCAATTCTCAGTTTGGGGGGAAACCATTAATGGAGTACCACAGGGATCTACTGTACAGTATATTATAACCACTGCTCTTCCTAATTCATGTAAATGGTCTACATTCATTTACATCATCAGTATATTAGTTAAGTTACAGGTGATAAAAAATAGGAGAAATAGAAAACACTTTAGAACCCACAGTTTGCAATCTGGATTACAAATGAAATCCAAAATGCCTTAGACAAAATCCATGACTGGGCAAAACCCAGACAGATGACATTTAATGTAGAAAAATGTTCACTTTATAATTAAGATGGTATTCACTGAACTTCAAGAAGCTATTATAAAGACTATTGGTGCAGGATAGGATTGGATATATCGTTAAAATTGTAGATTTTAAATTTAAAAAATGTTATGTTAAATGTAAGCAATGTACTAGAAAGATCTCATTTAGAATACTGTGTACGGTTCAGGTCAGTAAATTACCTACACTATATGTAATTACCACCTTGAAATCAGTCCAAGGAAGTACAACTAGATACAATTTACATTACTGGGAATAAAGAACATCCTACTGTGACTGACTAAAAGAACGGATTTGTTTTAGCACCAAACAGAGAGGATTACAAGGGGGATCTAACTTAAAATCCTAAATGACATTGATAAAGTCAACACAATAGACCTTTTCAGAATCAACAGTATACCATGAACCAGGTTGCACACATGAAAGCTATAGGAAAGCATTTAGAAATAAGAATAGGATACATTTTTATGCAAAGGAATATTGGAGTCTGGAACAAGCTACAAAGCCATGTTGCTGAAGCTAACACTCATGCTCCATTTAGGAAATAAATAATGATATTTCCAAGCCACTAATCTACTATCAACTAAACAAACTAAATTTGTTTTGTTTTCATGTAGGGAGTAGAAGGAGAATAAACACCTGTTGAGCTGGCCTTTATTAGACTGGCTGAATGGAGTCAAGAGACTTGCTGAAAGAGGATTTTTTTTTTTTACCAAGGGTAAGAGCTGCTTTGGAATAATACTGCCTTCGCAGAGTGAAAGGAATATCGAATTCCCCGTGGATATTAGCAGAGCTTTTCTTGCTCAGGAGAACTTGTTCTTTAGTCTGGATTAATGGCTTTTTTGAAAGAAGAAAAGGATTACAAAGGGTTTGCAGTATCCACTGGCCTGGAAAACTACAGATCTGGGACTACTGTGAGATACTTGGATATTTTTTGACTGCTTTGCAGTGCTATTATTATTCTTTTATGTGAAATATAATATTGAAGTTCAACTTATTTGGCAGTGTGGCTGAGTTATGCTTACATTATGATCTGTACGGTAAATTATAGTACTTTGAACCTTTGGCAAATTAATTAGTAAATTAGTATACTCATAAAATTAAAAAAAATCCTTGTGATTTTTTTGCCTTAAAGACACCATAAAATGTTTGCAGGCAGAAGAAGAAATGCAAAATACAGAAACTAGTACTCAATGCAAAAAATAGGATATCTTTTGAAATGTACACCTACATGTAAAACATATAAACAGTATGTTAACATGGTGTGTGCCTAGACTTACAAGCAGCACAATATAGGTCATCCTTCTCAAGATAAAATCCAGTTATCTACATAGCTCAGGATCAACAAATTCCATTTACTCTGCAATCTATGGATGATCCATGACCTTGCTGATCCAACAGGGAATCTTCATGTCTCTTTTAGAACTGATGACCTAAGCAAATCTAGCCATTCCTGCTGTATAAGCAGGCATAATACAGAATGAACAGCAATTAATTCACATGATTTAAAAATACCTTACCAACTTCGGACATTTCTGGTACAGATGCAATAAATGGACCATCGGGAAATTTTGGTGCGTTGTCATTGATGTCTTGAACTTTAATAATAAACTCAGATTCAGGCTCCAGAGGCTTGTTTGTCCGTCGATCAATGGCTTGCGCATGCAATACATAGTGTGTCTTCTTTTCCCGATCCAGACTTTTCGTTGCATGGATGTCCCCTGTGATCTCATTAATAATAAATATAGTGCCAGCCCCTTCACCAGTGAGAATGTAGCTGACTGATCCATCTCCTTTATCTGAGTTGGAGTGCAGCTATGAAAAGTAAAAAAAGGAAAGCAATATTACAATTTTTAATAAGTAAACAAGCATAATCAGCAAAATTGTCTTGTCTGTTATGTTTAGTCTCAGTTTGTGAAAGGAAAAATACTATTGTTCAGCATTCATTTTTTCGTGTTTTTAGCCACAGTGAAAACATAACACTATATATATAATATAGTTTACCTGATTTTTAATTGTGTTGCTATTATTCAAATTAGTTTTATTGCAGTTTTATTGCAAATTTATTGGGTTTTACGGATACACTCAGTATGACAAATAGCCTTGATTTAATTAACATCTTACTTTTGGTTACATGAAACCGCATATTAAAAAAGCCAAATGAGCTAAGCAAGGAATCATAGAAGAGGTTATTTATTACCAAATATTGTGTGGCATTAGTGATAGTGCAAAAAGCTACATGCTGTTCTAAACCAGAGCATACAATTTTATTGTATTTTGAAGAAAGTTCTTTTTAAGTTCATTTTATATGTCAACAACTCTGTTTATTTTATTAATTTATTGTAGCACAAGTAGATGTCATGCCTACTTGAAATGCATGTTAGCTTCTGAAATGGAAAACGATACCTGTAAAATAAATATTGGTAACTTGGTCACTAAGTTGCAGAATACATTGTTATATCAGACAGGGATAAGGATTATGTTTGTAATTGACACACAGCAGACATAAACAATCTTTAAAGTGAACCATTTGTCTTAATAGCATTTTAGAAAACAATAAGCAGCTGACATACTGGTGTTAAACTCTTGAATTGTTCATGAGATAGTATAGTGTTAAACCAAAGTGTATAAAACAAAAAGGAACAGAACTAATTAAATAAAACTAAATCTCTAAAACTCTAACACAGATTAGGGTGTAGAACCAGCTGTTAGTATCATTGGTTGTTTTAACAATAGATGATTTTTATCGCAAAAGGTTACTGACAGCAATGTACACAATGTTTTACTGGAACATATTCATTTACAAAGGATTAATCTTGTGCATAAATCTTGTAATGAATCTTTTGCATATCTTGTTCTTTGTAGTGTCTAGAGGTCAAAGAGTTTTATCATCCTGCTTTTCTTTAATGTTATATTCTGAATTCGATATAAAGTATAAGACATACAGATGCAGTTATTCAAAACGAGCAAGGTACGCTGCGGTACAACGCGGTGGGCGTGTCACATCATAACACATCATATCACGTCATACCGCATTATACTGCATGCAAATTAGATTATGTTAATAGTATGCAGAATCTCCTTGTAAAACCACCAGGTGGAGCTAATAAAGCTTAACCTCTCATGTACAGCATTTGAGCTGTCACCAGAAAACACCCGATTTCGAATCCTGATCACTGCTGAGGGACAATCTTTATTCAATTAAGAATTTAAGTCGTATACTCTTTAGACTTTTAATTTTAAACTGTGTATTACAGCATGATAATCATTAAACATGAAAAAGTTGGTATATTTTATAAAAGCAAGATTGCTCAGTTGGACAAAAGTACACAACCTACCACCTTTATCATAGATATTTTAATTATGCACAAATATTTTATGCATCAAAGTCTGTACCGAAGATTTTACTAATAGTATTCATAATGAATGAACTTGGACAAGCTGTAAACTCAAAGTATTACCCTGGTCCACTTTCTTTGTAACCGTCTTTGTATACAAAAGGACTTTATTTTTTCATTGACAAAAGGTAACATCACAGCATTTCATTGATCTGATCATGTATTCGTTTCCAATCATACAAAGTAAATTTTAAGAATCTCCGATTCACCATGCCTTTCACATGCTCATAAACGATATTAATTTAGGAACATAAACATATTATGTAAACTGTTTATGGCTGGTATTGGTATTTTAAAGAAAAAATACACACCAGTATTCCACTTTGTCCCTAAACATTTTAAGCATCAGAGTCTTACATGTAGTTATTTTGAAACGTTTCTAAAAGTATGCTTTTGTTTATGCTGATAACGAGAAAAGGTTAAAACACTATCACTTTGCACAAAGTATATAACTTAATATGGTCAGAAGGAGCACGTAAAAACATTTCCAAAATAACCAAATGAAAGACTTTGATGCTTTAATGTTTAGGGAGAAATACCGGTGTGTATTTTTTCTTTAAAATACCAATACCAGCCATATACAGTTTACATGATATGTTTATGTTCCTAAATTATTATCGTTTATGACCATCAGATGTGTTATGCTCCTCTTTTTTTATGCTCAGTTACTAAAATTTCCCTTTAGTTGAAAATTACATATAAATATTCAATACTAAGTGGATTAAAACGTGCACAGTAAAGAGATTAAATGATTAAATCTTTTCACTCATGACCAATGCACCACGAGTGTCTCTGTTGGTCATTTTGGCCAGCCAGACACGTAGTGCAGTGGCTTGTGGTTAGTTGCGTGCAGTACAGGTTTGTACCGCGCATTTTGAATGGCTGCATCTGTATAATGTATATGGAACAAGTCATAGGTTTATTCCATGCTGAAAGAGAACAAAGAAAACACATTGTTTCGGTTGTGGAGCCTTCTTTCTTCTCTTTTCAGCATGGAATAAACCTATTACTTGTTCCTTTGCAGCCTACGCATGCTGACGCAGCTACCCACCTGAGCTACTTCAGCCTACATCTGCTGTGACCCTCTGCACCTTCCTCAAAATCTTTTTCTAGATCTTTTTGTCATTCCTTCTCTTCCTCCCTGGGTCACTTGCCCCCCTCTCTTACTGAACCAGCATTCTGTCTCTTCACAGTGATCTGTTCCAAGAGCAGGCTTTCTAACCACCTTCTCTTCCTTTATAGATGTCGTCAACATAATATCATTCCTAAACGATTTCGCCACACCTGAAGAAGACTCCACAGCCGAAATGTTGTGTTTTCTTTCTTCTCTTTTCAGCATGGAATAAACCTATTACTTGTTCCTTTGCAGCCTACACATGCTGACGCAGCTACCCACCTGAACTAATGTATATGACTTATGAACTGAATGCACCATGTTTTAATCTGAATGTTATATTATACCATTTAAAAATGATATTTAAGTGGTAGAAAATGTGGAATTAGCTGTTTAACATGAATCAGTACATTAGGAGAGTGTCTTGCAAATAATATAAACTATATTATTATATTCAAAAGTTGAAGGTAATAATTTATAAGACATTGTTTACATCAATTTATACAATGTTTATATTTTTGTAAGGAATATGTCACAACCTAAAATTTCCACAAATGTCTAATTAACATAAAGATGTAATAGCTTATACAAGTAACTTGTAACTGTAATAGATTATCATTTTTAAAAATTATTTCCTCAACACTGGTGAGGAATACATGTGGTGTCGGTGGAAATTTAGAGCATTTGGATTTGCAGAGGAGTTGTAGTTTTTGTACCTTGTGTTTCTGTAATTGTCTAAGACATACTGTATTTATGTCCTTAACCAGTGTCTGATAATTTATTTCTCTGCCACCAAATTGTTCGTAAAAGATACAAAAAATGTAACTATTTTTATATCTTCAGACAGTGGTGGTTTGTGGTTCTTGAATCTCTATTAACTACTTGTTTTCAAGCTGTGTCAGAACCCACTTTCACAAATCACTTTCTAACTCAAGTTTTACATTATTTATATATTATTAGTGTTTTTCATGTATTTTAGAATACCAACTTCATTGAGGATTTTAAAGCTTCTTACAGAGGTCAATTACTTTATTTTTTTCTATCTCTACTAAGATATCAGTTTGTTTTAATTAATTAGATGACAACTAAAAATGCTCACCCTTTGGACCTAATATAAAATTGTATTCTATGTATATATTGAACCAAGAAGGAGATAGCTTTATAATATTCTCTACATCTTTATACAGTAATAAAATAGTACAATGTCGTTAATGTCATGGTAAGTAAATGAAAGTATGATAACAACATTGCTGTCATGGACCCCGAACAGTATTATGAGGAGCAACAGATTTTCATAATTATGGGTTGTAGAATGATCTTTGTTTTCAAATTTTAATCATCAGCGAATCAGTGATGCTATCTGCAGGTAAATATGACCGCTACCCTCTTATAACTTGGAAATTATAAGAAATTCTGTTTAAAAAAGTTAAAGTCCAACAACTAAAACTAATTTTTACCAAGGCACCTTGTAACTAATGGATACAGTGGAGCGTGGAAGCAATTAATAAATTAAAATAACTTGTTTTTTTTAAATACAGATAATAAGAACATCTAGAGAATTTTAATTAGAAAAAAACCTAGTAGCATTTTCTTAAACTTAAATTAGGACTGTCTTTCTTATAAATTTAATATTCATATTTTATTATCTGATTTATTTTGTTTCCCAGCAGACTGCTGTATTTCTTGCTCAGATAAAAATGTGTCCCATAGTATTGGCTTTGTACTTGGAATATTTAGTATTGTTTTTAGGAATCACAGTGAAGGTGAAAGAGAAGAAAGATCCTGAGTTCCTTTAAGATAAAGAAAAGGAATGACAGTTGTTGTGCTGTTGCAATGAAGCTTTGAGGCTAATTTATAATTGCCTTGGTACTCAACTGGAACAAAGCTATGCAGCTAAGATGTAAAGCAGAAACAGTAATTTAACACCCTGTGGGAGGGTCACATTTTAATGTAAACAGGTTAATCCAGCTAAATCCAGATTAGTTGTGCTACACTGACTTGCATCATTGCAAATTAAATCTGTTGTACTTTATTACAGCAAGTACATAGGCCTATATACCAGTGTACAATACTAGTGATTTAGCAAGGTAACCAGAAGGCATAATTCCTAAAATGAAAAATGTCTGAGTACTAAAAAAATAATATTATTGAAGTGTTAAAATCCCACAAAAAAAGATAAACTCGATAATAATCACCAACAAAATAAATTGTTAAATATTAAAAATATACAAATAATTGTTAGAAGTTATGAACTGAAGAATAGTGACATTTTACTCAGTCTTACTGTGAATAAAGTTAACTGT